TCGGGGTACGTAAATTATGTTTTAAACTCATTTCTTGCTGTTTTAGACTGACATGTTTTGAGAAATTCCTTTTATCCTCGAAGAAGATAAAGACTAGTCGCATTTTCGTATCGGAAATAAAAACGCAAAATAAATAGTTACTTATATAAAGTGTCTATTAGTGACCTACAAAATATGGTGGCCGAAGTCGAGTGGAACTGCATAGTGCATAGGTAACGAGGTTAGGGTAATTGGCAATATTTTTCAGTGTGGTAAAAAGATAACAAAAGGACGCTTAATTTATATGTGTGAATAAAGTGAGCTTTCTATCTTAGATATTCCTTGCTTGTTGATGTCACTTATAGGTCATTGTATCCCAGACTAACTGGAGCAGTTGCTGATTTTCTTGCACAGACACTGATAAGAGTGGTACAATTTTTTCATTCGATTCCACTTCTCTTGTTCTTTGTTGTCACAGGGAGTAGTTAACCACTACAAAAAATGAGGAGGGTGTTTTGGGTGGAAAAGTAACTTTACATAAAAGTTGTTAGAATTGCCTATTTAAATTTATTCAGATTAAATGATACCCTTTTGTGGCTTTTGTTCCTGATTAATTTAGCGATATGGTAGTGGGTGTAGGTAAACAGCTATGCGACTGACCTGTTTGCATTGAATTTTAACTATTGGAGAACATCTGCACATGTTATGTTATATTATCGCTCTATGTGAAAGACCGCTCAATATTGCTATTTCAAAGAAACTACTGCAATTCTGTCAGAAACAAAAAATGATATTAAAGCCTGGATAAAGTAGTTTACGTATCAAGTAACGTTATTATGGGTTTTACGTCACGAGGGAATATGTTTGAAGGGGCAACGCCCCGAATTCTTTAAAATTCCCGAAGATGTAAAACCTTATAACGTTACGTGTGTCGTAACACGTTTTATTTTATCCTCATTCCTCATTCATGTACTTTATACGACATTCACTACAGACCGCGAGGCAGCGTACATAGTAACTAAACCATAAGCGACAATACTGGCTGAAAGTACGTTGAAAACTAGTAATAAAATCACTCGTCTGCCAGTCGTAAGTGGCAGCATTAACTTGGGGGTGGCGCTGAATAAGTGATTTCTTTAGGTGATCAACTAAATTACTAATAAGGGTCACAGAAAAGATTTATATCAAGAAATTCCATTTTCCCCATAGTTTTCAAATATGCCACGGCAGACGATTTCAAGTGCAGCGTTGGTGGCGACAGACACCCTTCAATATAGGGAAGAACTAAACCATGAGGACCGTATAAAAATTATACATAAAAAATTCCTGTTTTTGTCACTACCTACAGCAAAATCTCAATCCCGGTATTTGCGGGATTGTTAGATGTTAATCCCGCGGGATCCCGGTATTTGCGGGATCCCTCAAAACTTCTGTATTAAAATAAATCGCTAATTATCACAATGTTTTAACAAAAAAAGTACCTTCAGCCTAACTTAGAACTCAAAAAAACATCACCTGTAAAGCACAAAAAGGTGAACTTCTAAAGTGCCTCAAAAATCATAGTACATTTTTAACGAAAAAAGCTTTAACAATTATTTAAAAAATAATTTCTCCGTTATGCGCTTCATTAACAAACTAAACAGTCGTCCCCTTGGTCGATAAATTTCTCAGTCCCGTAAATCACGCTCCATTTATGTGCGGGATTAATCCCGCAAAAATGCTGCGGGATCCCGCAATTGCATTCCCTACACACTGCTTTTTTTGAGCCCCGAAAAAAAAATTGTCTCAGATCGACCCGGAAAAAAAATTTTCTTATAGAATGTGGCCTGTAGAATCCATAATTTCACACAGTTCCAAGATTGGGCTACTAGTTCAAAAGTTACAGCCCTTTGAATTTTCTTTCGAAATTGGTTTCTAGTCTATAACTTTTGATTGAGAAGTCTGATCGAAAAAGTACGAATTGTTTTGGATTCTACGCACCAAAATTAATAAGAAAAAGTGTTTTCCCGAGAAATTTTGGTGTAGTCGATTTTTGGTAAAAAAGGAAGGTTATACACTGCCTTTTTTTGAGCCCCGAAAAAAAAAATTGTCTCAGATCGACCCGGAAAAAAAATTTTCTTATAGAATGTGGCCTGTAGAATCCATAATTTCAAACAGTTCCAAGATTGGGCTACTAGTTCAAAAGTTACAGCCCTTTGAATTTTCTTTCGAAATTGGTTTCTAGTCTATAACTTTTGATTGAGAAGTCTGATCGAAAAAGTACGAATTGTTTTGGATTCTACGCACCAAAATTAATAAGAAAAAGTGTTTTCCCGAGAAATTTTGGTGCAGTCGATTTTTGGTAAAAAAGGAAGGTTTATACACTGCCTTTTTTTGAGCCCGAAAAAAAAATTGTCTCAGATCGACCCGGAAAAAAAATTTTCTTATAGAATGTGGCCTGTAGAATCCATAATTTCAAACAGTTCCAAGATTGGGCTACTAGTTCAAAAGTTACAGCCCTTTGAATTTTCTTTCGAAATTGGTTTCTAGTCTATAACTTTTGATTGAGAAGTCTGATCGAAAAAGCACGAATTGTTTTGGATTCTACGCACCAAAATTAATAAGAAAAAGTGTTTTCCCGAGAAATTTTGGTGTAGTCGATTTTTGGTAAAAAAGGAAGGTTATACACTGCCTTTTTTTGAGCCCCCAAAAAAAATTGTCACAGATCGACCCGGAAAAAAAATTTTCTTATAGAATGTGGCCTGTAGAATCCATAATTTCAAACAGTTCCAAGATTGGGCTACTAGTTCAAAAGTTACAGCCCCTTGAATTTTTTTTCGAAATTGGTTTCTAGTCTATAACTTTTGATTGAGAAGTCTAATCGAAAAAGTACGAATTGTTTTGGATTTTACGCACCAAAATTAATAAGAAAAAGTGTTTTCCCGAGAAATTTTGGTGTAGTCGATTTTTGGTAAAAAAGGAAGGTTATACACTGCCTTTTTTTGAGCCCCGAAAGAAAAATTGTCTCAGATCGACCCGGAAAAAAAATTTTCTTATAGAATGTGGCCTGTAGAATCCATAATTTCAAACAGTTCCAAGATTGGGCTACTAGTTCAAAAGTTACAGCCCTTTGAATTTTCTTTCGAAATTGGTTTCTAGTCTATAACTTTTGATTGAGAAGTCTAATCGAAAAAGTACGAATTGTTTTGGATTCTACCCACCAAAATTAATAAGAAAAAGTGTTTTCCCGAGAAATTTTGGTGCAGTCGATTTTTGGTAAAAAAGGAAGGTTTATACACTGCCTTTTTTTGAGCCCCGAAAAAAAATTGTCTCAGATCGACCCGGAAAAAAAATTTTCTTATACAATGTGGCCTGTAGAATCCATAATTTCAAACAGTTCCAAGATTGGGCTACTAGTTCAAAAGTTACAGCCCTTTGAATTTTATTTCGAAATTGGTTTCTAGTCCATAACTTTTGATTGAGAAGTCTGATCGAAAAAGTACGAATTGTTTTGGATTCTACGCACCAAAATTAATAAGAAAATGTGTTTTCCCCAGAAATTTTGGTGCAGTCGATTTTTTGTAAAAAAGGAAGGTTATACACTGCCTTTTTTTGAGCCCCGAAAAGAAAATTGTCTCAGATCCACCCGGAAAAAAATTTTCTTATAGAATGTGGCGTGTAGAATCCATAATTTCAAACAGTTCCAAGATTGGGCTACTAAAAAAAATGTAAACTGAAAACGTTTAAATATGGAAATTCTTATCCAAATCCGGAGCATAGTTCAGATAAGTACTGATTCGAGTACCACGTAAGTCCAAGAACTGCCACGTTATCCTCTCTTTTTCCCTTTTTTCGGAAAACTCCCACCTCTCAAGTCGAATTGTCCTTCTGCCATTGCATCGGTCCATTCTTTAATAAATGTATGCTATTCTTTAGTATCTGCCACACTTGCAATGCAGTTGTCAACGTAGAAACTTTTGGCGAGTTTTCTTATAATACAGTTTTCCAAACATTTTGACAAGTGGTGATCTATGGTTACCCCTAGCAAGGATGGGGTACAATTTAATACAAAAACCACTCTGTTGTGTTTATAAACTACCTCTTGGTCATATTCATCAATCCATAGAAACTTCAAAAATTTAGTGTCTTTTTTATTTAAGCAGATCTGTAAAAATACTTTCTTTATATCTGAAACGACTCATATCTTGTTTTCCGTAAATTAACAACGCAGGAATAATTTCATGTTCAATTTTTGAACTTTTAAAATTTAGTTTTTCTAATTTTTTATCGTCGTTTCTAACCTTTTCTTACCAATTTTATAATTTGTACGTAATGGAGGGTGTCCTTCTAACCAGGGTAGTATCTGTATTTGTTATCTGCATTAATCACTAATGTTCCAACGATACAAGTAGGACCACTACGTCTGTGTGGGAGGTTCTGTTTTAACGCAAAAGTTAATGTTTGATATGTCATTCCTGGAGATGTTCATTGTTCTAAATACTGCAGCTTGAATATTATTTGCAATCGTCATTTTCCTTGTATGTCAACCTAAAAGGAAATTAACATCCTTGGTTCCCTCTGATAAATATGTTGTTTACTGAGAAGCAAAACAAGCCTTTAGATTGTAAGCTTTAGGAGATCACTCTCTGTTCCGAGCTGATAACACGATAACTCGATAAAGGAGAGAGATTATTTAAATTTCTTTTTCAAAAATTAACAGCTCCGATTTGTTACTTGGACCAGTTCGTAGGTGAGCAGGGATTGGAATCATTTATGCACTAACTTCATAAGTAACACACATATATTGGCAAAACTTCAATTATGTCCATACGTTTTGCATTTAATAACAAGATGTCATAGTCGTTTGATTGATCGATTTAATTAGAACTGGGCTGCCGAAGAGAGAAATTGGTCGGTTTATTGAGGTAGATTCGTAGATGAGCAAAATTGGAAAGATTGGACGCTTCTCCAGTGTATGGTTTATTAATTAATTAGATCATTAAGATGCCATCGTAAACGAGTTATGAATTTGAATTAGCTACTTAGATTAGCAAGATAAAGCGTATTTTCCCAACACACGTATTTCTCAAGCTGGTGTTGAAGACCTCAGCAATCGTAGTAATGCTCAAGAAAAAACTACGATAATGGGAAGTATCTTGACCCTCGAACAAGGTCGAGTTAATATCCTAGACCGGTACGCCCAGCTGCAGTAGTTGTATAAAACAACTGGAAGTTCAATGTTGTGGCGATGGCTTCCAGTAGTGAATCTACATATCTAGGTCTTGATTTAAGTACGCAGCAGGTGAGTGACTATTTCTAAACTCATTTTCTTTGATTGTATATCGTTTTTTGCGAGTTTTGTGGATTAGAATTGGGTAAACGTGTATTTGACAAATTCGACGCATGCGTCGCGTTGTTTCGTCAATGAGCTGGCAACCGCATTATGTAACAATACTACGACGCGACGTCGTTGCGAGTTTCGTGAATGAACGGTACAGCCTGTGCCACCTGTTGAATACGATGTAACTACCCAATGCAGTGGTCCTCTACCAAAAGCTTTTCTTAATTCTTTGCCTTTTCCTACAAATCTCGTATCATTTCGACCATGATTCTTAACAAAATAAGCTTTATTTTATCATTTCTCATCTAGATCGTATTTTCTAACCGCCGACGTACTCTTCTTTCCTATATATTTTGACCACAAATATTTGCTGCTTTCTTATAGGTACAAAATAATGTAATTTTTAGGTATCTAATTCATAGCGTCAACCCAACCCCTTCGTTTTACTTTGTGGTAGTTTTCAACTGTTCTTGCAGCTGATGAGTTGTTTCACACATTGGCTATAGTATTGTACCCTATATGAAAAGCAGTTCAAAAATCAGTACGACACGATATGATAGTTAACTACCAATTACTTCTGTTCATCTATACGGAAGGTTCGTGGCGTGTGACTTTTTGGTAGTAGAAAATAAAGTTAATGATTTAAGGCCGCATTACCAACCATATCATATAGAACAGCTTTAGAGCTTTTAATTAGACAAAAAGACACCTTTCATATGAACTGCAATAGTATGCATATAGGACAGCTTCCAATACCTAATCCTAAATAGGAAAAATTTAAACAAGTTAAAAAGTAATCGATTTACATAAAGCGCATTTCCACTTGCATTTATTTCCCATTTGTAAGATGCAACTTCTGTTAAAATCGTAAAAATCCGGCCACAAATATGAAAGATAGCGTTGCACATGGGCAATCCATTTTTGACGTGCTACTTCAAGTTCAGTTTATGAGAAGAATTTCATTTCAATGCTTTTCTGAATAAGAAAGTTGGAACTGCGCATGCGCAAACCTAAATTTTGAAACTAATGTTAGATTTTCCTTTGTTCCAAGCGCCTAAATATCAAATTTCACTTAAATCTTCCATAGATAAAAAAGTTGGCACTGCGCATGCGCAAAACCAAATTTTGAAATTGGCGTTTGATTTTCCTTTATTCCAAGTGCCTATGTATCAAATTTCATTTAAATCTTCCATAAATAAAAAAGTTGGCACTGCGCATGCGCAAAACCAAATTTTGAAATTGGCGTTTGATTTTCCTTTATTCCAAGTGCCTATGTATCAATTTCGTTTAAATTCTTCCATAAATAAAAAAGTTGGCACTGCGCATGCGCAAAACCAAATTTTGAAATTGGCGTTTGATTTTCCTTTATTCCAAGTGCCTATGTATCAAATTTCATTCAAATACTTTTATAAGTAAAAAAGTTTGCAATTCGGTTTATAAATGGTCGAGATGCGAAAAGGGCACTGTGATTTTGGAATCGATTCGACTCAACTTTTGGCATTGCGTATTATATGGCTAAAGCTATGCCCATATTGAATTTCATGCAATTCAGTTCAATAACTAACGGAGATGTAAAAGCGATCGGACATTTCTAAACAAAGTTATCGTTCACACGGACAGATACAGGGACAGACAGACAAAGGAACAGACGGACAGACCAACAGACAGACGACAGACAGCAATACAAAATTATAAACGATCTCTAGGATCGTTAATAAACGGCAAAAGTGTAAAATTATGGAACATGTAAAAAACGGTTTTTTGTTTTTTTTACAATAACTTTTTTTGTAAGCGGTACAGAAAAAATTCCTTCCTTGGTACAAGACTCGACACCATAACGAACCAAATAGCGAAAAAAGTAGAACAATAGCTCTTAAGATAAAGAACTAGTAGCGTCGCAAAACGAGAGGACGGACGGACGGACGGACGGACAAAGTGGCCACAATAGCGGATTTTTTTTTATTTTTGTGGAAATGCGCTAAAAAGGGTCATAAGGTACCATCGAAGTAACTCTGCTAAAAAAGTTCAAATTAGCATTCATTGCAGCCCTTTAAGTTAACAAAAACCATTTAACACTCGCAGATAAATCTACTTGCTTTTAAAAGGTACTTAACGATTGGTATCCAGTCCACCAGAAATGGGCATCAACTTAATGATCGTCAAACTGAGTGAAATCCGCTATTGAGGTTTATAAAAAATTGAATAAGCACCCGCAAAAAGGAAGTTTTAAATTATAATTCTTTTTAAAAGGGAATAATTAATGATTAATCTCTTGTATGAAAAAAATACTGGCATTCGCTTAGCAATTGTTTAAGAGAGTTAAATTTTCTCTCAAGGTTTAAAAAGTTAATTTATAATACCCGCCAAAACAAGGGTTTTTATGACACGATTGATTTCCCGTACCAAAAAAAGTCGCATAGATTTAGCGATCGTCTAAGGGGGTGAAACCCCCAATTGATTTTCCGTTCGCTATCCACTTTCGATAATTCAAGGGAGGGAAATCAACTCTTATAGTTTAAAAAAAAAATACAAAAAACATCCGCAATTTTAATTTACAATATTTATTAACGGTCAAGCAAATTTTATACATAAAATATACAGGGTGAGTTTTTTTCCATTTTAAGCATTAGGATCTCGAAAACCGTAAGCAGTCGAGATCCAAATTTAAGAAACTTTAAAGACTAAAGACTTTTTTTTTAATGTAATGACAATTTTTTTACTATTGCTTGAGAAAATTGAAATTTGCAAATTGTGATATTACATGTTTCTATAGCTATCTTTAACAGTTAGTTTAGAATTCGGTGGTCATAAAATCTTGCCCGACTACTAAAAAGAAAATGAAATGGGAATAAATCAGAAACTGTTCAAGATGAAATATCAAAATACGCCAATTTTGATTCTCTATCTAATGCAATAGTAAGAAAATGGCCATTTCATTTAAAAAAACTGAGTTTTTAGTGTTTGAAGTTTCTTAAATTTGGATGTCGTACGCAACTGAACTTTTTTGAAGTATAGGTATACACTAAAAGAAAGCCCTATTCTTTCTCTATGCACTAGTAAAATTAGGCGAAAGACTGTTGAGGGCCCAGAACAAGAGTATCCCCTCTCTTATATAAAATAAAATTTTAAAAAATAATAAAATAAAAAAAATATCTGAAAAACGGGGTGTACTTTCAAAGAACAGAAAGATGGTCTAAATGAGACACATCTCTAACTGAAAAAAATGTTGGAGGAAAGTACCTACACCTATAAAAGAAAAAAAAACAACATTTAGGTTTCTCTAAAGACTTGATTCCCCCGAGGATTTTCCTTGCATTATATAGGGTAGATTTTGAATAATATGCCAAGCAGCTATTAAATGTTTATGTGTCCCCTCCCCACGAATCATCTAGCTACTAAGCTATTTCGGTAAAAAAATTGATTGGAATCCTTTTAAACGTTGGTGCAAGAGGGTTAAGATTCTCTTAAGGTTTTAAAACATTAATTTAGCAATCGCACATTTTAATTCGTTGTACAAGTTAATAATTGATCTCGGCTATTAGCAAAAAATTACCATACACTCAGCTACCATCTAAGAAGTTGAAACTGCCCTCAATGATAAAAAAGTCTTCAAATTCTAATTCTCTTATAAACACCACGATTGGCCTCGACTACCTCCAAAAAATGTGCATTAGTTAACGATCATCATATAAGTGGGCAAAATCCGCTGTTGATGCTTAAAGAATAATTGACTACCCGCACAAAGGAAGGTTTAAATTGTAATTTTTTTTAGAAAGTAACGATATTGGTAGTATTTCCAAAAAAACTGGCTTGAACTGAGGAGGAACCCGTTCTTGATGAGATTCATTTAACACCCGAAAAAAGAAGGAGTCAAATTATAATATTCACTGAGCTACGGTGAAATCGTTCAAGGGGCGAAATCCTCTCTTGGGGTTTCACACCACACATTTTAATTCATTATTTTATAAGGGTTACCTTGTGAGTATTAATCTCTCTCTAGTGTTACCAAACAATTGCCATTCACTGAATTACCATAAATGTAAGGGGGTGAAAGTGAAATCCACCCATAAAATTGGAAGACAAAAGGATTCACATTTTAATTACTTTATAAAGTCCACGATCTTCGTACCTCAAAAAAATTGATATACACTTAGCGTTCATCTAAGGAGCTAAAATCTATCCTTGTGGTTAAAAAAATCATTCACACTAACATTCGTTTTAGAAGGTAACGATTAATCTTTAGCATTAGTGGGCACTCACTGAGTTCCCATCAAAGGAGGTGAAATCCGTTCTTAAATGCTAAAGGATAAAAGGTTCCATTTTTATTTTAGGAAGCCAACGATTGGTTTTCAGTGTTTTAAACAAATTGGCATCGTCTTGCGATTGTGAGGGGGTTAAATCCGCTCTTATGGTTTAAAAAATTTAATACCTGGAAGAAGAACCTAGCCACCGGGATACAATCCACTCTGGAGATAAGAATGAAGACCTTCTGCAGGGACACCTCTAAAAAAAGGCATTCACTTAGGGATCATTTAAGGGGAGTAATCGACTGTTGGGCTATAAAAAATTAACACGAAGAAGGGTTTAAAAATTCGTGGAACACCGCCCGCATAAAGAAAGGTTTAAAAACTAGTTATACAGGGTGACAATTTGAAAACTTACCACCCCCCATATCTTAGTAAATAAACGAGATATTTAAATAAATCAAAATCCGTTTTGGTAAGTCGAAGGGGGAATCACAATGACATAGTTGGTGACGCACCCCCTCACACCCCCTGCGCCCTAGCCACCCCAACTTTTAAATCTTAAATAGTGACTCTCCATGTGTGATACGTCATTGGAAAGCTCTGAAAAAATGCTTTCCAACCATACCAAATAGCATTACATTTAGGTTAGTAATTATCGTGCAAATCAAAAAATAAACTAATATGATACATTTGAAATCTGTCGTATTTCAAACGCAACCGGCGAACATAGACGAACTAAGACAGAGAATAATTCAAGAATGTCGAAATATTGCAAAACCAACATTTGAAAAGGTTCGACAAGAGTTTGAGAATAGATTATAACTGGCGATCAAAAATGAGTTGCTGTCGAGTCGGCTTTGGAAGTTCAAGTTAAATACGATTTTCCATGTTTATTTTTTGATTTGCACGATAATTACTAACCTAAATGTAATGCTATTTGGTATGGTTGGAAAGCATTTTTTCAGAGCTTTCCAATGACGTATCACACATGGGGAGTCACTATTTAAGATTTAAAAGTTGGGGTGGCTAGGGCGCAGGGGGTGTGAGGGGGTGCGTCACCAACAATGTCATTGTGATTCCCCCTCCGAATTACCGAAACGGATTTTGATTTTTTTGAATATCTCGTTTATTTACTAAGATATGGGGGGTGGTAAGTTTTCAAATTGTCACCCTGTATACAGTCCCTTTCTTTTAAAGGGACAATTACTTAATATATTAAGATAGTGGCAATAGGTACGAACTTCCTTATTTTAAATGGCAGCCCTTATGTTTTATTAAACATTTAGGTTCCTTTTTGAAATTTAAGGTTAGTTTATTAAACAATACCTATGGCCATTTTTTACCGCTTTGGAGATATTTTCATTTTAAGAAAAAAATTGACAGTTTGTTAAGGCGGGTACTTTGTCGCTTTGTATCTCAATGACTAGTAGACGTTAAACAATGAAATCATGGGGGTACATGCTGGTTATTCGAATAATAATAATAATTTTTCACAAAAATTTACGGGGTCTTCACGAATTATACAAAATTTGTTTTTTCTTTTTGAGTTTTTTTAGAAAAACTCGTTTTTTTCAAATCAAATGTCTCTTTTTTTATTTCAGATATTAATTCTAGAGAAAATTTTCATATTTTCAAAAATTGATAATTTTAAAGTTATTTGCCTTTCTTGCAATAAAGTAGGTAATTTTTAATACAACTCAAAAGAACACTAACGTTTGGTTTTATAGCTATTTCTAGTATAACCGGATGTGTTAGAACATTGTCACTATTTTGAAAAAGTAGTTCATGGTCGAGAACCTTTGTGTGTATTTTATAAGCCTATCATTTCCACTTTCCCACATAAGTTCAATAAAACAAAAAAGTTGGAAACTGTTGGTTTCAACAGGATGGTGCACCTGCGCATCGCCCTAAACGAAACGTAGTAAAATCTCCGCTATCTCGTAGAGCCCAAAAAGTGGCAATGGGACAGTATTTCTCTAAAAATTTGTTGTATCTGTTCAAATATCATCTGAAAAAAATAAGAACGGCTTCGGCCAATTTCGGATTTTCTGGCAAACCTTCAGAAGTAATCGGAATAATCTTTAAAAAATTGGCATCCACTTAGCGATAATTCAAGGGGGTGAATTTCGCCCATAAAGCTCGAAAGAAAGGTTTCAAATTCTTTTTCTTTTTAAAAGGCTCCGATTTATTTACAGTAGTAGATACTACAAAGAAATCGTTTATGGAATGAAATGCGTGTTGGAAGTTTGAAAAATTAGTTTTACACCCGCACAAAAGGGGGCTAAAACTTTAATTAATTGAGCTACCATCGAAGGGGGGGGGGGTTAAATTCATCCATATTCGTCCACATTTTTAAAAAAAGAGGTGTCAGGCTATTATTCTTGATCTGCTAAGTATAGTACCAAAAAAATTGGAATGTACTTAGCCACCATCTAAACCGTCTAAGGGTTAAATCCTCTCTTGATGTTTAAAAAAAGTGTTTTAACACCTGTAGTGCATTTTAACTCCTTTTACAAGGTAACAATTAATCTCTAGTAATTACGCTATGAAACTCCACACATATCTTCCAAAAAACAAACATAAAAATGTGGTCAAATCAACTTTGCCTTCCATTACTCTCTATACTTTTTAATTCGATTTATACTCGCGTCATTTGCTTTTATTTTGTGACTATCACAGTTTCAAATTGATTTTATTGTCAACCATGAACCATCCCTTATTGAGATGCATTTATGAGACTTGAATTTATGGTGATTCAGGACGTGCAAGTATGATAGCTAGAAGCAAAACAAAAAAAGCTCAAAGCTGATGAATCACATATACATATGAAAAATTACGCGTTCAGGAATGTCGGAATTTTAAAATGGTTTAATTATCACATAATAGGATGGCATGTTACCGTGAACTCGTCGCCTGGGTACGTACCTATTTCAATTTTACATTGTGAGAAAGCTATCGTATGACTATGTCCGTTTTTTTCCCAATAAATGCTAGGAGCTACTTCCTTACTTTGGATTTGGTGAAAAGAATTGCATTCACTTCCCACCTAATGGTTTTTTTCTGTTCTACTGATGTTGATATACGGAAGAATGTCTACATCGTCGTATAACCTACTTGCTTTTATAAAAAGAGTTCTCGTACAAACGTAAAATACCATTTAGAGTGCAGTAAGAAAGTTCTGTCCAAGAGTCAACAAAAAGTGTTCCCTTTTTCAGACATTTAGAAAAGCACATCTTTTAAGTTTTGGTGAACAACTATTACCTACTATTACAAGCATTTTTCAGGTTAGAATAATGTAATGTTGTACTTGTGCGAGGAATACATAATGTCCATTTTCTAAGTAGCTTCTACTAGAAATTATTGTTTCAGTTAAAGGCCGCCGTGTTGGATGACAAATTTCAAATACTTCACGAAACAGCCGTCCATTTCGATAATGACTTACCAGAATTTAGGTGCGTTAACTTACATTTGCCATTTTGTAAATGCATAAAATCAAATTTTAGGACGCACGGTGGTATTATTCAAGATAAGGAATACCCGGGATTGGTCACCGCACCTACATTAATGTGGGTTAAAGCGGTTGATATGTTAATGGATCGACTTACAGTTTGTGGAGTTGATTATTCGAAAATTGTTGCCATTTCCGGAGCGGCACAGGTATGATTGATGACATCATTTTAAATTGGAAAATTGCATGCGCCGATTTATAGCAACACGGTTCCGTTTACTGGAATAATGGCGCCGAAAAGATCTTAAGAAATTTGAATTCATCTCAATTTTTACATCAGCAATTGGCGACCAGCTTTTCGGTATCGCAAAGTCCAACGTGGATGGATTCGAGCACTACCGCTGAGTGTAAGGCACTTGAGGATGCGGTCGGTGGACCATTAGTAAGTGATTAACATGTAATTAGTTGATTTACATTGTATATCTCGTTTAGAAATTGGCCGAGATAACTGGATCGAGAGGATATGAGCGTTTTACAGGGCCACAAATTGCGAAAATTGTGAAGACAAAACCTGATGCGTACAAAGCTACAGAGGTAAGCGAAGACGGTAAGAATTTGGCAAATCTGTTGATTTCGTGCCTTGTCCTCAAGCGATTTGGTTTTCCCAAAATAAAATTTTGTCTCGTTGATGAATATCTATCTATCCAGTTTTTGCAGGATGGGATCTAGGTTTACAATCAAAACACCATATTTGGTAAGGATAGTAATTTGAGTTGATAGACATTATTTTTCAGACAGTTCAGTTCAGTTTTAATTACGATTATTGTGCATCCGACCTCCTACTTAAACCCTCCTGTAGTCGCGCCGCGACCTGTGAGACTGGGCAATTGAAAATTTCCGGATTATTCTTAAATGCTCAATTTCCTATTTTACTGTCCCAAGCATATACCTTACAAGTTCGGGTTAAAAAGTTTGCGGAACTGATAAGAAACAAGAGTAAAGAAATGTGAATCCTGGTAGATGGGCATATTGAAGCTATAAAAAGAACAGAAAACCTCGATTTTCTTGTTTTAAATGTAGCACCATAGACTATAATTAGTCCATGGTAGCACCTATATGTGCCTAGTAGTCCAGGCTATATAATATTTTTGTATGAAAAAAATTAGTTACCGGGCGAAACCGGGTTTTTCAGGCAGGTGGAATGAATAGAATTTGGGAAAAAATAATTAAAACAGCTGAATTTTTCCGCGGGTGAAATCACGGGGGTTGAAAGGGGTGGAAAGTGGTATTTTGCAAATTGTGGTAAAACTATTGATTTTAGACGAAAATGTTAAATGTAAAAGTTATAGAGATAAAAAAAATGAGCAACTTTTGTATCTGCACTATTTTCACGTACCCTCCAATTTTAATAGAAAAACCGGAAAAACTGTTTTTTTGTTTTTTGTTCTTATTTTTGTGAAAAAATGTCGTAGGGGTTTGAAATTTGGAGGTAACATAGCCTGTTTTATGATGAAACAGAAGATAATTGTTTAGGCCCATAAAGTTGAACCGTTTCCAAGATCTCATGATTTCTGAAAAAAATCACCTCTTTTTCAAGGGGATGAAATAACTATTTTTTCATCGTATAGAGGCGCGCGGGGTAGCAAAATTTTCGGGAAGACATATTTTAATAAACAAAAATAAAAAAATATTATTCCTATAGCAAAAATTCGCGGAAATCGCCAAAAACCGGAAAAACAGTTTTAAGATATACACGGTTTTTGACATGATAAATCAACATGTTGGATGTTAATAAAGATTTTTTCGAAATCTGTCTTCTTCCTTCTCTTTAATGTTTGCCTACATATTCTCTTTTGTTATCTTATGCTCAACTGTTTTAGTTAAAACATCTTTATTATTTCTTTTTTCTGCATTTTTACCGCAATAAAAGCAATTCGAAATAATAGTATATTAAGATACAAGTGTATAGTCAAGTCTTTAAAGCACGCGCAACGAGTTTAAGGGCACGACGCAAAGCGGAGTGCCTTTAACGTTGCAAGTGCTTTAAAGACCAATTATACACGTGTATCTTATAGTATTTTTTATTATACCTGCAGTATAATTTAAAAATAGGAAATACAATGAAATCATATTGACGTTATACTCGAATACATGTCTAATTAAGTGGGCTGGGTGTTCGTAATTTCACGATTGCCATGGAAATGTCACTTGACGTTTGCTTAAAAAATCATCGTCTTTGTGAATTAAACGATTTCCGTTGAAAAAGATAATACACCGTCCATTAAATCGATTGTTGTAAAATCTAAACAAACGTTGGTAGGTGTAAAATCCAACTCCAGTATAGCCTTTTTTAAAGAATATGAAAAGTTGTTTCCATGGATGAATAGGAAGTTACGAATACAGTCTTAAATGCATCCATAATGCTGGCATATATGAAGGAAATGTCAAAGGTATTTAAATCTTCTATATTTTGGTGCATTCATTCAAAACTTTAAAGCAATGCTGCGATTAAAAAGTGGAACAGATTTGGAAGCATACCCTAAATTACGCGCGTTTGTGAAAGCTTCAACCAAAGGATAGCTACAAAAGCCAAACAAATGTTCTGCATTTACAGAAAGCGACCTAAAAGGATTTTTTTATTGCATCCAGATGACAGTTTCAAAAGTCATACTTGAAGTATCGTTACTTAGCAACTTTAAAGCACGTGTGTTTTAAAGGCCCTTTTTCGCACGCATTTGAGTGTTTAAAACAGAGATTGTGATTCAGGTATAATAAAAAATCGAATTATGTATCTTGCTTCCTGATTCTTGAACAATTTATTTTTGTTCACTGACTCTTCTTCCTGCTTGTTTTATAGCTGATGCAATTGCGTTGGGCCTGTTGATAAACTTGCAAAATCTGCAATAAGAACGTTGGTTTTACCGGCCAAAAGCAAATGATTTGAGATGTCAAACCTGCGGGAATAAACTTTATGAGGATTTTATTCATAATTCCTGTAAATTAACGATCAACAGGCCCAGCTTAATCCCATCAGCTGTAAAACAGGCAGGAAGAAAAATTAGTGAACAAAAACATATTGTTCAGGAAGCAAAAGAATTCGATTTTACTTCAAATTACTTTTATTGCGGTAAAAATGCAGAAAAAAAAACAATAAAGATGTTTTAATTAAGGCAGCTGGGCACTGGGAAACAAAAGAAAATATTTTAGCAACATTAAAGAGGAGAGAGAAGACAGATTTCCAAAACTTTTTATTAGCGCGCATCCAACACGTTTTGCAAAAAAGCCTATTTACCTACTGTCAAAAACGGTGTATCTTAAAACTGTTCCCTCCGTTTATGCCGCTTTTCTTGAAATTTTTCTATTGGAATAATATTTTTTATTTTTGATTATTAAAATGTAAGTCGTTACGAAAATTTTGCTACACCGCGCACCTCTGTAAGACGAAAAAAAAATAGATTTTTCATCCCCTTGAAAAAGAGTGATTTTTTACAGAAATCGTGAGATCTTGGAAACGGTTCAACTTTATAGGCCCAAACAATTATCTTCTGTTTTATCATAAAACAGGTTATGTTACCTCCAAATTTCAAACCCCTACGGCATTTTTTCGCAAAAATAAGAATAAAAAACGAAAAAAACAGTTTTTCCGGTTTTTCTAGGAAAATTTAAGGTTATGTGAAAATAGTGCAGATACAAAAGTTGCTCATTTTTTTAATCTCTATAACTTTTACATTAACATTTTCGTCTAAAATCAATGGTTTTGCCACAATTTGCAAAACACCCCTTTCAACCCATTTCAACCCTGGTGATTTCACCCGCGGAAAAATTCAGCTGTTTTAATTATTTTTTCCCAATTTCTATTCATTTTACCTGCCTGAAAAACCCGGTTTCGCCCGGTAACTAATTTCTTTTCACTTATAATTGCACAAGAGGTTTGTATTTTACCGAGTAAATTTGGGTTGTTTAGGTAATGAAAATCCGTTGCCTAGCAATTAGACGAGAAAAACTGTCAACTAATAAAAATGCGACACCGCAGGTGGAGCATTTTTAGGTTGACAGTTTTTCGAGTCCAATTGCTAAAAGGAAACAGATTTGAATTGCCACAACCCAAATTTACTCGGTTTAAATACAAACCTCGAGTGTAATTCGGCAGGACAATTTAACGAACAAGAAATTCACCAAACTAATCAATTATTGACAGACGTCAAACTAGTCATATGGGAAAGGATAATGTGATAATTGGTTCGAAAATGAATAAGTGAAAAAACCACTAGTGCATTTGTCGCTGGAAAAGTTGCAGGTAACTTTTGCCGCCGTCAAAGTGACAATTTCACTGCGGCTTATGCGATTTTTTATACATGAGTTGAATTGTCAAAATAAATCATTTTAGAGCTATTTAGCCTGGACTATAGAACACAGAAGCTGTGCGGTATATTTTTTCAATATGATGCATGTTTCCGAGATGCCGTCCATTTTTGGATGAAAATGACATTAAATTGTGATTTAAAATAAATTGCGCAAATCATGAACCCACTCATTTTATTTTTAAAATTTTAAAAAGTACATAAGTACTCTAAGATGAACAACAACCAAATACAGTTGAACTCTTCTCCTGCAAATTCGTCAATAAAGGACGTGTAGTCTAGAGGGGCAGCTCGTGATGATTCAATAGAAATTAATACCAGCTTTCTAAATTTTGATTGATTTAAATTATTGAAAAATTATTTAAGTTTAGAAAAACTTCTCTCGCCACTAACGGCAGACACAGGGATTGTTAAGAAAATTATTATTATAGCTACATGCTGAAAAATTATTTATAGTGGCATGCGTCTACCGAGGGGTCTACAGAACTAAAAGAGTCACTTTTTTTTTAATGGACAGCACTATTTTTTTGAGGTATTATTAAAGAATGCACTTTTTTTTTAATATGTGCTCAAAAAAACAAGATCAAGCTAATAACATTTAAAATTAATTAACGATCTTCCTTGATTTGAGATTTTCTCTTAAATTTCATTATGTACTACAATCAGTTTTTTGTGTTGCTATATTCAAAAACGTGTACTCTTTAAGAATTTGTAATGAAAACTAGTGGTTACTATTTAAAAAAATATTCCCCCTTTGACCTTGCTTGCAGAAGTACGCCACTGACAACAAATTTAAAAAAATGTTGAGCAATAGTCCGAATTTAAAATGGTGCCTAGACAGTGGCGTTACCTCTCATTTTTGCGATGATGAACCGAATGCCCTACGTCGAATTCGAATCTAGCTTCCTTCGTCACTACTTCCTTTTTTAATTTTTCATCACTCCCAAAATAGTGCTTACCACTTAAAGCGGTCATATTTAACAACTACTCGTCAGACTGTCGCCAGTAACTTTCCTAGGCTATTAATTAGTCATGACGCCCACGGAAACAATACAAATTTTGTAATATAAAGGGATTAAAATGTACACAATGCTTAAACTGCGCTACCCTAACGAAATTCATCCTTGCACCCCTTTATTTAAGAAAAAACCACACCATTATAACTAGCAAATTTCATAAAAACTCGCCCACACCTATGTGTCCTAATAACTAGAGTGACAAATGAAAGTTTTAAGAAAAACTGAAATGCTTAAGAGCTCCCGTTACAAAATTGAAACTTTTTACCCCTTTGGCATTCCATAATTTTTTACGAAAAATCGCTTTTCCATGGCGTTCATCTATTGCAAGGGCGGTACTATTCGAAGCATGTCAACTATTTGTCTTTTCTGCTTGTTTAGGCTAAAGAAATCCACAAGCAGCACCTTTAGCTGCGTATAAAATTGAAAACTTTGCTCCTTTCCAATTACGTTTTATTCTTATGAAAATTAGTTCTTAAATGGCAGGGTTGTAACTATTAAAGTGCGTCAAATGTTTTTCCGTTTTTGATTGGTTATGCCGAAAAGATCCGCTAGCAACCCCTTAATTCCGCTTAGAATTGCAACCCTCCGCCAGATATTTTCTTTTCTTTTTACGAAAATTCGTACTTACATGGCGTGGCGAGGGTTCTAATATCTATTTCGAGGATTGTAACTTTTGAAATACGTCAAATATTTTGCTTTCTTTTTTATGTATTTATTTATTTATTGTCCCCTTTTCGCCCAGTGACAGAGTGAACCCCATAATGTTTTTTTTTCCAATACCTATACATTGAATTTAATCCCTAATTTTTGTACATTAACAGGTAATTTTAATCCCTAGAGAATAAAAAAATTTTAATCCCCCATTTTTGTTTTCTCCTTGAGTGAATATTTGGAGAAAAACCGTTTCTTCTTTTGGTAGAAGGCGAAATAAAAAATTTCAATGTTGCCACAGAATCCATCATTCTCACACCTACATCCAAGACCGATTAAACGGAAATGTAAACGGCATGCGGTCCAACAAGCACCAATCTCATCATGCGTGTCTAATTAATGATGGATTTGTGGTGCCAATACCTATTCCCATATGTTGACATGCGAATTGAAATTAAATTAATGATACGGACAGTATGGGTTTCGTTATTAATCGATGATTTCATATTTCAGAGAATATCACTAATAAGCAGCTTCCTTTGCTCACTATTTCTTGGTAAAATTGCACCTATCGATATTATGGAAGCGTCTGGCACAAACTTAATGGATATCAAATCGAAAACTTGGAACGAGACGTTACTGGACAGATGCGGCCCGAATCTAAAGTCAAAATTGGGCGATACGGTGCCGTCTAATACCAAACTAGGAAAAATTGCGCCGTATTTCGTCGATCGATGGGATTTTAATCCCGAATGCGAGATAATCGCATTTACTGGAGACAATGCCTCCTCCTTGATCGGCCTGCGACTTAATCCCGGGTGGTTGGCCGTTAGTTTGGGTACCAGCGATACTGTCTTCCTATGGTTGCAAGAACCGCACGTCGTCATAGACGGGCACATATTCTGCAACCCTATCGATAAAGATGCTTATCTTGGACTCTTATGGTAGGGAATTGTTGAAATTTTTGTACGTCACTTTAGATATTTGCAGTTTTAAAAATGGCTCGTTGTCACGAGAGCGCATTAGGAATAATTGCACCGAAGGATCGTGGGAAATATTTAACATGCTCCTTGATAGTACTCCTAGAGGTAACTTTGGGAATATAGGTAAGCTTCAGGTGTATCGACTTAGGTACTGACGCACTGTATCGCACTTGTTAGGTTTATACTACGACACTCAAGAAATCATTCCATTTTTATCTGGTGATTATAGGTTTAATAAAGCAGGAGATAGAATTGTTAAATTTACCAGTTTAGAAGTAGAGGTACGCGCGCTGATCGAGGGCCAATTTATGGCGAAACGGATGTACGCCGAAGACTTTGGTTTCAAATTTGGTAATCTGGCAAGTAATCAATAAACAGTAGGTACGCATTTTCATATTACAGGAGAGGACACAAAGTTACTAGCCACCGGGGGTGCTTCTTGCAATAAATCAATTCTTCAAGTCATGGCCGACGTATTTAACGCACCTGTTTATACATTGGTAAGTTACACTATTACTTAAGTAAATTACCTGACGCTAATCTGTTAGAATGTGTCCAATTCGGCTACCATTGGATCGGCTTATCACGCAAAGATTGGTCTATTAGGAAATGAAAAGACCTACCAGGAAATTACAGCTTGTCTTCCAGAACCAGAGCTGGTCTGCACCCCTTACAGCGATGCGGCAGATATATACGAACCTATGTTGAAACGGTATCGTAATATTATACAAATGCTAGTGAAAACTAGTTGAAATTCTGGATTTAGCACAATTTTTAATATTTTTTAATACGTTCATAGTTTATTTTTCTACCAAAAATGTAACTAAGTATAAAGTGCAATAAAATTGTTCGTGTTTCTCAAATTTCTTTTATGGAGCATCTAGGGGGTTATTGATATGGGAGGACGAGGACGGGTAGATATGCACTTTTGAACGGAGCGATACATGAGGATTAATTACCGCTGATTAAACCTTTTTCTTTAAACAACAGTTGGGCTATTCCCCGATAAGGCTTTACGCCATTTGCAAATTACCTTAAATTTAACTGGAAAAACCAAGTTTCTACTACCTATTTCTTAATTTTGAATCTTGGTGATATTGAACTCATTATGAATAAAGCTGAGAATTTAGAAAGTACAGTACATATTGGCCATGGGGCATTAAACCGAGAATCGGCAATTAAATCTTTACATTCAAATTTCATTTTAGAATGGAATCAAGGCAAAATTGCCCAAACGACGGCCTTTTATGATTGTGCCCAAGTGACTCTTATAAGGACCACAATCTCGTAAACAGCAAGCGATAGAGGTTGGTTTAAATGAGACATTATGTCTCTTACTGGTTGAACATATGGAAATTATATAAGAACTAGGTACCTCGTTGAAAGCTTTACAAAATTCGTTTTGTTCCTGCACCATAGGTAATGAAATTTTCTTCAATTTTTTTACTCCTCATTTGTAGTTGGAGTATAGTAGGACGTAGGAACTGTTCTTAAAAACGACCCTCGAATTTTTGTCTTATTGAAAGCCGAGATAAATTTGTTTCTTTTGAGATTATTATATCAATTTTTATGTCGGTGTAGGCTATTCCTATATTAGTCTCTTTCATGCAAAGAATACCCGTACTGTACTGGACTCTGACACTGCATACTGTCGCAAGAGGCGACTATAATCAACGGTGACCCAATTAAACTGAACTTTTGAAATTTAGTTACAAATCAGTGAATTCTCAACGCCACAACAAAAAAATTAAAAGGCAGTATTTGATTGAGGGGGTTGTAAATCCTGTTGCCAAATATTTTTTTTCATTGATCGATTATATTAAAAGAATCTACAAGCAACCCTTTAATTGCCAAATATAAGTAAATCTCATCCCGGTTCAAAAATTCGTTGTTTTTACGTGAATTGACTTTCACCTACGTGTAAGTATTCGATTGCGGAGGTTGTAAATGTTGTTGCGGGTCAAAGTTTTTTATTTTCTTGGCTGATTATATAAAAAAACTACAAGCAACCCTGAAATTGACAAGTATAAGAAAAATTCCACCGCTTTTCAAAAATTCGTATTTATTAAAAAAATTTGCTCTTATTTACGTAGCATTATTCGATTGCGGGGGTTGTAAACCTTGTTGTGAGTCAAATATTTCTATGTCTTTGATCGATTATTTTAAAAGGATATACAAGCAACCCCTAAATTGCTCAGTATAAGTAAAACACCATTCCGTTTGAGAAATTCGTAATCTTTAAAAAACTTCATTCTTACTTACGTAGCATTATTCGATTGCGGGGGTTGTAAACCTTGTTGTGAGTCAAATATTTCTATGTCTTTGGTCGATTATACTGTAAGGATATACAAGCAACCCTTAAATTGCCCAGTATAAATAAAACACCATTCCGTTTGAAAAATTCGTAATTTTTAAGAAAATTCGTTCTTACCTACCTACGTATCAGTATTCGATAGCGGGAGTTGTAAATTATGTTGTGAGTCAAATATTTTTATTTCCTTGATCGATTGTATTAAAAAAAACTAAAAGCAACCCTGAAATTGACAAGTATAAGTAAAATTCCACCCCGTTTCAAGAATTCGTATCTTTTAAGAAAATTCGTTCATATTTACGTAGCATTATTCGATTGCGGGGTTGTAAACCTTGTTGTGAGTCAAATATTTCTATGTCTTTGATCGATTATATTAAAAGGATATACAAGCAACCCTTAAATTGCCAAGTATACGTAAAATACCATTCCGTTTGAAAAATTCGTAATTTTTAAGGAAGTTCGATCTTACTTACGTAGCAGTATTCGATTGCGGGGGTTGTAAATTATGTTGTGAGTCAAATATTTTTATTCCCTTGATCGATTATATTAAAAAAAAACTACAAGCAACCCTGAAATAGACAGGTATAAGTAAAATTCCACCCTGTTTCAAAAATTCGTATTTTTTAAGAAAATTCGCTCTTATTTATGTAGCATTATTCGATTGCGGGGGTTGTAAACCTTGTTGTGAGTGAAATATTTTTATGTCTTTGATCGATTATACTGTAAGGATATACAAGCAACCCTTAAATTGCCCAGTATAAATAAAACACCATTCCGTTTGAAAAATTCGTAATTTTTAAGAAAATTTGTTCTTACCTACGTATCAGTATTCGATAGCGGGAGTTGTAAATTATGTTGTGAGTCAAATATTTTTATTTCCTTTAACGATTATATTAAAAAAAACTACAAGCAACCCTGAAATTGACAAGTATATGTAAAATTCCACCCCGTTTCGAAAATTCGTATTTTTTAAGAAAATTCGCTCTTATTTACGTAGCATTATTCGATTGGGGGGTTGTAAACCTTGTTGTGAGTCAAATATTTCTATGTCTTTGATCGATTATATTAAAAGGATATACAAGCAACCCTTAAACTGCCAAGTATACGTAAAATACCATTCCGTTTGAAAAATTCGTAATTTTTAAGAAAATTCGTTCTTACCTACGTATCAGTATTCGATAGCGGGAGTTGTAAATTATGTTGTGAGTCAAATATTTTTATTTCCTTGATCGATTGTATTAAAAAAAAACTAAAAGCAACCCTGAAATTGACAAGTATAAGTAAAATTCCACACCGTTTCAAGAATTCGTATCTTTCAAGAAAATTCGTTCATATTTACGTAGCATTATTCGATTGCGGGGTTGTAAACCTTGTTGTGAGTCAAATATTTCTATGTCTTTGATCGATTATATTAAAAGGATATACAAGCAACCCTTAAATTGCCAAGTATACGTAAAATACCATTCCGTTTGAAAAATTCGTAATTTTTAAGGAAGTTCGATCTTACTTACGTAGCAGTATTCGATTGCGGGGGTTGTAAATTATGTTGTGAGTCAAATATTTTTATTCCCTTGATCGATTATATTAAAAAAAAACTACAAGCAACCCTGAAATAGACAGGTATAAGTAAAATTCCACCCTGTTTCAAAAATTCGTATTTTTTAAGAAAATTCGCTCTTATTTATGTAGCATTATTCGATTGCGGGGGTTGTAAACCTTGTTGTGAGTGAAATATTTTTGTCTTTGATCGATTATATTAAAAGGATATACAAACAACCCTTAAATTGCCAAGTATACGTAAAATACCATTCCGTTTAAAAAATTCGTAATTTTTAAAATATTCGTACTTACTTACCTTACGTACGTAGCAGTATTCGATTGCGGGGGTTGTAAATTATGTTGTGGGTTAAATATTTTTATTTCCTTGATCGATTATATTAAAAAAAACTACAAGCAACCCTGAAATTGACAGGAATAAGTAAAATTCCACCCTGTTTCAAGAATTCGTGTCTTTTAATAAAATTCGCTCTTATTTACGTAGCATTATTCGATTGCGGGGGTTGTAAACCTTGTTGCGAGTCAAATATTTTTATTTCCTTGATCGATTATATTAAAAAAAACTACAAGCAACCCTGAAATTGACAGGTATAAGTAAAATTCCACCCTGTTTCAAGAATTCGTGTCTTTTAATAAAATTCGCTCTTATTTACGTAGCATTATTCGATTGCGGGGGTTGTAAACCTTGTTGCGAGTCAAATATTTTTATTTCCTTGATCGATTATATTAAAAAAAACTACAAGCAACCCTGAAATTGACAGGTATAAGTAAAATTCCACCCTGTTTCAAGAATTCGTGTCTTTTAATAAAATTCGCTCTTATTTACGTAGCATTATTCGATTGCGGGGGTTGTAAACCTTGTTGCGAGTCAAATATTTTTATTTCCTTGATCGATTATATTAAAAAAAACTACAAGCAACCCTGAAATTGACAGGTATAAGTAAAATTCCACCCTGTTTCAAAAATTCGTATTTTTTAAGAAAATTCGCTCTTATTTACGTAGCATTATTCGATTGCGGGGGTTGTAAACCTTGTTGTGAGTCAAATATTTCTGTCTTTGATCGATCATATCAATAGGATATACAAGCAACCCTTAAATTGCCAAGTATAAGATGTGCCTGGAAAGTTGTACCTAACAATAATTGACTTTATTGTTTAAAAAGCGTCTCAAAAAAATTCTAAAGTACTGTTTATTAGGACCACAAACTTAGAAATACAAAGGTATTGTGAATACATTCAAAATAGTCAAATTGTTTATTTCTTGCGACCACCACGTTCCTTAATCTGCAACTGTATAATTGCTCCAGTGGTAATGTTGTAATATGCGAGGGTGTTTGAATCTTTGAAAAACATCCCCTGTAAAAAAGCCATATAACACCCGAACAGACAATATAGACATCTACTTACGTCATAAAATAATTTCTGCTTAGCCGGCGGCATGGCGGTATCCTCTTGAACTTTGGCTTTCAAATTCCCGACAGTTTCGGAAAGTGGCATAATGAAAGTGAGCAGTTGTCCTGCCAATTTCCATTCCGTCTTTTCCGGTTGCAAAGGTATGGTAACTTTAATTGATACCGGATTCTGTGAACAAAATCGATTAGACACCCTTCACGCTAAAGGGTACGTACCGTGTTTCTTGCCAAAAATACTTCTTCAGGAATGAGAGAATCTTCGTTACGCATTTTCTTGTTGGAGGGTTCGTCCTCCATGCTGGCCTCCAGGGGGTGTTTAACATTTACGGCACCCACAGGTGTCATGTGAGACATTGTGGTGACGTATCCGGCCATTGGAGGTGCTGCCACTGTAATTAATTTTTGTATTTGTAGTAATTACGTAACGGTGGATACATACTCATCAAGGGTGGTGGCGCACGAATGGACGTTGGCATCATCATTATAGGTGACTGAGCTAATATTGAACCTTGAGTCGAAATTGTCAGGCCCATTTGGGGTGGTTGATTTGACGGTGCTTTAACAGGCTGTTGACACC